GCCCCCAACATCCACAAGCATGATATGTTTTAAAGATACATGGGACAGAAAAACTGCTTAAGTTTTGGATATATGACCTTAAGCTTCCAAATGGAAGAGATCCATGCAGAGCTCAAACCCACAAAGAGCTCAGAACAACTCTCTGACCCACAATCACAGACTATGCAGCCAACAAGCCAAAAGTTTCTAAGGCCACAACACATGCCATGTTTCTGCCTCTCCTCCCAGCCAGTGATGCACCTGAGGTGCCCAGAGAGCCAGGCAGGATGCTGCACACAGGCAGAGGTGCATCTGCATCTCTGAGGATTCCTACTTCGAGGCAGGGTTAGCCCATTGCTATGGGGTTCAAACATGCAGCTCCTGGCACCATGGACAGACCTCTTCCTGTAGCTCATAAACCCTAGACTTGATCCAGAACATCGAAAGGAATCCCACAGATGAATCACTGAACATCAGGCACAGGTCTGTGACAGGCATAGGGCACCCTGGGGACAGCCAGCTGGTGCCCAGCAGGGGCTACATTCACACACCAGAAGGGCCAGTCTTGCTATAGGATGGGAAGCACAGCTCAGATGACCGTCCCAGCACTCTGCAGGAACAAACTGTGAGAGACACTTCTCTAAAGTGAGCCCCTTGACCACTGTGACATCTGCCAGTTGGCCTCCCACCAGGAGTTTAAGTGGCCCATGATACACAGATGGCACCCAACAGACACGTGAAAAGGTGCCTTTGAGGCATCTTCATTTTTTGATGAGAAATCCTCTCACAGAGCAAGACAGCAAACCTTCCCCTGGAGCATCTGTTCTTGTTTCCTCCCCCTTTCCAGAGGGTGAAGGAGGTGGAAGAGACAGGGACCCCTCCTCCCCTCCCAGGAGCATTTGCTGGGCCCTCTTGCTCCAAGAGGGAGGGATTAGAGGGGAGCAGCCCGGCCAGGCACCACTGGGATAAGCTGCTGGCACACAGCTGGTGTGACATGCTGTACACCCCCTGGAGTGGTGGCACGGCCACCGACAGCAGTAGATGGGCTAGGGGACAGGGAGGTGCCCTGCAGCACAGTCCTACCTCTGCCAAATGCCATGGGCTGAAAGAGCCTCCAGCAGAGCAGGGAGGAAGGTCAAGGCAGTGAATGATAATTAAAAATACCTGTTCACCGAGGCAGATAAGAAACAAAGCATTTGGGAGGACTGCTGTAGGGGAAGAAACCTGGATGGGAAAGGAGGACATAGAAGCCTTTAAATCAGGTGCTACTGGTGTTTGGATAGGACCCTCAGCTCCTTTTGGCCCTTCTGGTCCAGGTGCTGAGTTCTGGTCAGTGCTGCTTCTCCAGCAGGATGGATGTCAGATGGGCTGGATACCCTGCTCCCTGGCAGGACACCTCTCCCAGTGTCTCCATCCCTCCCATAATCCTGCTCTCCTCCTATGCTCACCTCTTTCATGGCAAGGAAGCACTTGTGTGAACTTGGGATTGCAAAATCAGGCAGTGAGGGAAGGGAAAGGCACTTGGAAACCTCACAGAAGACAGTGGTGCTGCCCCATCACAAAGGGAGCCTCTCCCAGCTGTCATGGATCAGGAGGAGACCTTGGCTGAGATCCCTCCTCCCCCAGAGCTACTGAACACAGCTGGCATTGAGCTGCTTCCTGCTTTGTTAAACTGGAGAGATTTGAGTGGAAAAAAATGGAATGGAATCAGTCCACAAACACAACCAGGATGCTCTTGTCTGTTGCTCTTCCAAAGCCCTGAAGAAAGCCAGAACCAGGGCGGCAGAAGAGCCACCAACACAGCACATCAGCCCAAGGAAGGGTTTTTGTTTGTGTAAATAACCCTGCTCAGCCAAGGCAGTGCTTGATGGTTGCTAAACCACTCCACAGATTAAACAACAGAACACTGAGCAGCAGCAGCCTAAAATCCTGTCACTGAACTGCAGGCCTTTAGCCAGGCAGAGAAGGCAGCAGGGACAGCTTTCCTTTGGGCTATATAAAGAACAAAAATCCTCACGTCCTCAGGAAAAACACACCCTTATAACAATCAAAGACTTTTAAGCCCAAACAATCTTCCCTACATATCATATGCATAAATTGAGATGGCAAAGTAACATTATGTTCATTATTAAACCGATTAATAATTAACAAATCAGTAATTATTTATTTATTCTGGCAGGGGATGGGCTGGCATAAACCTGCTGGGTGAACTGCTGTCAGCGATCATGGGCAGCACCTGAGACCTGCTCCAGCTGTTTCTCCTCACAATCCACGGCAGCACATCCCAGATTTTGTCCTTGCTTTCCCAGTCTTCTTTTAGGGGGCACTCAAGCAGTGTGGATAGATAAATAAATAAAAGTCACTTAAAAGAAGTTATTTTGTTGATAAGCTTGCCCAGCGTTCCATTTAAGGATTCTTTTAAAATTAGTATTAAGCATCACAAAGGACTCAGCGACTCAGCTCGGTCTGCAATCGCTATTTGCATCTGAAAAGCTGCAGCTCTCTCTCCTTCCCTGCCACACCTGCCTCAGAGCCACCCCACAGCTTCGGACACACTGGAAATCGGTGTCATGGAATTCAACCAGATCGAACGACGTGGAGGAGGGTGGTGGGAAGGACCCAAAACAAATAAGACAATCTCAGAACAGTAAATTTCCTGATGACCACAGATGTGGCCATTCCTCTCCCAACTCACCCACTTGCCAGTCCTATAATCGAGGTTAAAAGAGAGTGGAAAGGGCGGGGGGGGGACGGGGATGGGGAAGCAAAGCATTGAATTTATTTAATGAGAAATTGCAGTGACTCTGTGGCTTTAAAACGCAGTATTTTCGAGCCACTGCTACTCCACGAGGAAAATCCAAGGATACCTCAATGCCCTCCTGAGGGCTCCTCTTAATCACAATTACAGCGTGGCGGAACGGTTCCCGAAAATAAAAGATTCCCAAAAATAAAAGGCTTCCAGATCAACTGCAAGCACATCACTGCTTACTGCTCACTGCCAGCACCGCGAGCCTATCGGAACAGAGGGGGGAAAAAAGTCACTGCCACGGGAAACTCCCCAGCCGGGACACACAAGGCTCTGCCTCAACCTTCCCGCATAAACCAGAATATTTTACTTCAGGAGAACCCACAAACAAAATTAACTTCACCCCTCCAGATCCCTCTGATCTCATGGCAGGGTCAAACACAGCCCCAGCCTGGCAGCTCGAGACGGCACAGCAATAAAATGTGCGCTAGAAAAGGTGGAAAAGCAATTCTAGAGGAAAGAAACCAAAATTCTGAGGGGTAAGAAGATTAAATTCTAGGGCAGGTAAAGAACAAATATTCAGGGGAAGGGGAAAACAAAATTCCAGGGGGGCACGGCAAAATTCCAGAGGCGTCAAGACAGGAAAGAAACAAAATACGAGGGGGTAACACCCACCATAATTTTGTTATGTATAGTAAATATAATTCGCGCCATTCCTTGTATGAAATATGTAATATTGGATGCTTGTTAAATCATGCCCGTTGTATTAGTTCCCCCCCCCCCGCCCCACTTTTGCCGGCGAGACTGAGTGTATATTGGAAACTGATTTACAAGTAAAAGATGTGGGAGATGGGCCATCATCGGTGCTGATCGTCCGAGATGGATATCATGAAAATCCTCAGACAGATCCATGTGAATGCAGCCTTCCCGTAACTCTCATCAAGAATTCAACTACTCCGGACATTGAATTATTTCTCCTCATCACCAAAAAAAGAAAATATTATTAACCTATAGACTCTGAATAGAAGAAAAGACTAACTGCTCAAATCTTGGCCTCAGGCGGAATTTTCCCTATAAAAACCGCCTGTGCCAGGATGGAAGTGTGTGGGCATAGGAGAAAACCTCTGCTGAGGCTGACTCCTTGTTGCACACCCAGGGTCGATCCCGGGCTCGGCTCTGTCCTTTCCGTGTGGCTGGCTAGA